TTCTAAGTTCTTTTTCTTCCAAGAAGTAGAATTAGACTGAGATTGACCTGTTTCCTCCCCCTGTACTATTGGCTGCATTATCCCAAGAGAAGGGAGGAGGGAAGACTTGGCCCAGCACAGCAATTACTGGCAACCGACAAGTCTAAAGTCTGAGTACAAGATGTTACATCCACTATACAGGTGTAATCACCGCGCGGTGTCTGCTAATGTTCCTGAATGAGTGTCGGTGGAGAGGGTTAGAGTACTGACACACGAGACCTCATGCACATTGGGCATGAGGTCTCGTGTGCATGAGGTCTCATGCCCAATGTGCATGAGGTCTCGTGCACATTGGGCATTCAGCCCTGGTGCATGAGGTTCCGGAGTTTAGCTGCTACGGCTAGACTGGGCTGGGCAGAGCATTCAGCAGTACTTTTATTTAGGGCAATATACATTCTGCAATGAATGCTGTAAGCATTGAGGCCACTCATCAATCTCATCATCATCGATTTCCTTCTAAAGAGTACCAAATTACTGATAACAGTTCATAAACCTGAACACCAAAATTGGGCATTTGTGGCAGATCCTTTAACTGCCTGAGCTCCAGAAGATTTACCCCCTTCATAACCAGGCCATTTTTTGCTCTTTGGCACTGCGATACTTTAATTGGTAACTACGATGTCATGCAATGCTGTACACAAACAAAATTGATATCATATTTTTCACGCAAACAGAGATTTCTTTTGGTGGTATTTTATTGGCAATATAAAAAAAAAAGTTACTTTCTACCAAAAAACATATCCAATAAAAACATGAAAAAAATCATACATTTTGATCAAAATGTAATAGTCTACATGTCTTTATTAAAAAAAATCCCAATAAGTGTGATTGAAAGTTTTAGCGCTCACAAACTATCTGACACTAACTGACACTGGGGGAAACTGACTGTCTCTGACATCACCAGTGACATTACTACAGTGATCAGTGATAATACTATACACTGTCACTGTTGTAATGATGACACTGGCTGGGAAGGGGTTAACATCTAGGGCAGGGGTGTCAAACTGGTGGCCCTCCAGCTGTTGCGAAACTACAAGTCCCCTCATGCCTCTGCCATTGGGAGTCAATGCTTGTAACTGTCAATCTTGCAACGCCTCATGGGGCTTGTAGTTTGACAACAGCTGGAGGGGCGCCAGTTTGACATCTGTGATCTGGGGCAATCAAGGGATTAAATGTATGCGATGTGTAATATGTGTAAAGTGTGCTGCTTTTTACTAACAGATCTCTGAATTTCTCATCATTGCTTTGTAGAGATGACAAACAGAGAGATCGTTCCCTCTGTACAGAGCTCTGTGTTGATTATCAGCACAGAGCTCTGGGCTGTGATTGTACACAGCTGATCAGCAGGTCCTGCAAAGAATCGTTGGCCCGGGGCTTGCTGACAAGCTTCCAAAGTGTACAGGAATAATGCCAGCCAGACATGGGTCGAAAGTTGACCGATTTTTAGTCCGAAAATCAGACCTAAGAATAATCAGCCGATTTTTGCTCTGTTAGTGGGTCAATGGCACTGGCCGATTTTCATGGTTCCTCTCCATTTTGGTGATCGGGCATTTTGGAAAATTTGTGAAAAACTACTGATTTTCGACTCAATGATGGTCAAAACGTACAATTATTTTTCCGAAAAGAATATGCGCATGAGCCATGACCTGGAAGGAACAGACGTTTCACCTATTATATGGGGTGAACTTTATGACTTGTGTGGCCGATTTTCGAAATCATTGATGACACCATTGGATTACCGAGCGAACAACGTTTTCGATTTTTGGACAAAAATTGTTTGGAATTCGACCCATGTATGGCCTGCATAAGAGTAGGAGGATGAGGGGGGATCTGGAAACAGGCAGTGATGTATGTGTTAAACAGATGAAAACCCTAACTGAATGACACTTAGGGGTTTATATATATTAAAGCTGAAGAGTGCTAAATCAGGCTCACTTCTGCATAGAAAGCAATCAGCTTCCAGGTTTTATTGCCAAAGCCTGTATTTGGAATTTGGTGCCGCGCCCTATGATTGAGTGAATATCTATGTAATACATATGTTATATATGATGGTAAACTATAACAGTGTATTAGATATTGTGCCTTATATCAATATATAATCAATATAATAAGAATTGCATACATAACAATACTGTAAAATAAAACTGTTAACAGCAAGCAAAAAATATTTATTGGACATTTTTATTTTACATATACACTTTTTGGACACTTATTTTATTAATTATTATGATTTTTATTATAATGATTTCACCATTTATATTCACATTTTGTATTATAATTGTATAATGTTTGCAATCAGCTGAATTGATATCTTACAGTATTATTATGTATGCAATTCTTATTATTATATTGATTATATATTGATATAAGGCACAATATCTAATACACTGTTATAGTTTACCATCATATATAACATATATATTACATAGATATTCACTCAATCATAGCGCGCGGCACCAAATTCCAAATACAGGTATTCAATCACACATACATATGAGGATAAGAAAGGGAGCCTGCGAACATTTTCAAAGTTATATAACGTCTATTTCTGTGGCTCACAAGTAATTTTATAGTTTGTTGCCAAAGCCTGATTGAACAAGCTGAGTTTAGAAGCGGATTGGTTTCTATGCAGAAGTGAGCCTGATTTTACACTCTCCAGCGTTAGTAAATAAACCCCACAGTTTTTAAAGTGCTGTGTATCATAAACAATTGGCAAATGCTGTTTTACACCCTTTTTGTCCTTTGTTGCCTCTCAGTGCTGCTAATCTTCTGCAGCCTCGTTGCTGCCACTTAAAGCGGAGTTCCGCTCACCCTGTCAAAAAAAAAAGTCAGCAGCTACAAAAACTGTAGATGCTGACTTTTAAAAAACAGCCACTTACCTGTCCCTCGGTCCCATGGTGTGTCCTCCGCAGCTCGTTTCACCGGCCGTCCTGTATTCCAGGAGGCCGGCATCTTCAGTGTGGGCACCCGGCTGTGATAGCTTGCAGCTTCACAGCCGGGTACCCACTGCGCATGCGCGAGTAGCGCTGCTCTTCATGAATGGTCCTGTAGTCTTCTGGGACCTGTCACGTGTCCCAAAAGACTACAGGGAGGGAGGGAAGACACCTTGTGCTTCTGATTGCCTAGGTGATCAGACCAGAAGTGGGTCAAATTCGGGTACCCGCTCCCCAAAGGTGCCAATCCTTAATGGGGAGTGGGGGAGCAGTCCTTAAAGCGGAACTTCCTCTTTTACCTACACTCCAGCAATGGCTGTATGGAATTTTTCAGGAACTGGTGGGGGGTGAAGGACCTGGAGGGGGGGGGGGGCTTAGGTGAGTGCATCTTAGGTAACTTACAGAAGAAGATAAATTAATTCATATCAGCATTGGTAGGGGGGGGGGGGGGGGGGGGGGGGGTCATGCATGGTCAAACATTTGTTTCATTGTGAGGATTTTAACAAGATTGAAAACAACATTTGAAATGACATTCAAAAGGTTATCCAATAAATTACACATTCATTTACTGCCAATCCCTATTTCCTTAGCACATGGAATCCATTTGAAAAATCCAATGTATTCCTACAGAGTGGCTGTATATCGCTGGGGCACGATTGATAGTCCTCCTAGGACTAGGATGAATGGGATATTTCTGTGCATGAGCAACAGAAGTACAGAACAGACCAAGAGAGTTTACAGCGACTGCTGTGCAGCTATGACTGCATGGACATGGCAGTAATGTGGACCGGTGTGTTTGGGGGGGTTAATAAAGGATAACTTTAAGGATAATCGTCTTTTGTAAAGTTGTGTTTTACATTTACATTGAGTTTATCAGTGGCTAGCAGAGTAGGAATTTCTGCTAGAAACTTTCTTTATGAACAGATCAGCATGTATGAGGGTTTTAATCATTTCTGGTTGTAGTTAACCTCTCCGTTCTCACACCCTGGTTAATAAGATGGTCAGTTGAGGCTTCGGTGGCCTGATGTTGTGTGATCTGCACTTGTAACGTTTTTCATTAAATCAAATTGTGCTTTTTTCTTAAGTCAGTTTTATTTAGTCACACGTGCATCTGTGTAGTGTCAGGACATGACCCCCACTCAGGGATTCCTAGGTGCACCAGGATAACCTTGTCTGGTCAGACAGTCTGAGCTTTCAAAAGACTGAACAACAAAAATCAGATATTAACCCATGGTAAATGAACAAATGATAGTAGCTTGTCATTTTAAAAGATTTGAGGACAATTGGTGGTTGTTTTTTACTTTTATCCTTAATGTTGTAAATTCTCCATACTTTACATAGTCAATGATAAGGATGAAAAAAAACATCTGAAGGGAAGGATTTTCCAACAAGCTGGAAATGATTTTGACTCATCTTCTACTATTTCTATTACCTGTGAGGGATCACTTTTGTACTCAAAATGTTGCAATTCTTGACTAGTTTGTGGAATTGTTGAATTTCCTAAAAACTGACATGTGCAGCCTTACAGGTTGACCAGTTGATTACCTCATTATCAGTTTTTATGTTTTCACATCAAATGATCAAATATATCTGCACCCAGGGGCAGACTGACAACTCATGGGCAATAGGGGATCATGGGGCCCCTGTGTCCTTGCCCAAACTTATAAAAGCCTATGAAAAAGGTACCAGGGGCATCTCATGGGGCCCCCTACTGACACCAGGCCCTCGGGCAGTGCCCGAGTTTCCAAATGGCCAGTCTGCCCCTGTGTACATACACTGATCATCCATAACTTGTAGCAATTTCTATTTTTTTTTTTTTTTTTATTGAGTAACAATTAAAATGTAAGAAAAAGGCATTTTGCTATTTACATTCCAAATCCAGGCAACATCGTTTTCATCACTGTCTGTGTTGGAAAGATCCCCTCCACAGACAGGGATCAAAACCCTACATTAAAATTTCCCTACTCAATTGAAAACTTAAAAAAAAACAAAAACTTAACTTTGACTTTATACTTTTTATTTCTGTAGGGGCCTTCTTCATCCCTTACCTGATCTTCCTCTTCACCTGTGGGATTCCGGTCTTTTTTCTGGAGACAGCGCTGGGCCAGTACACCAGCCAAGGAGGTGTCACTGCCTGGAGGAAAATCTGCCCCCTCTTTGAAGGTCAGTTTATATAACAAAGGACCACAAAACGCCACCAGTTTCTCTACAACTGCCTCAGTACTTTTTTTATCCCAGATCTATGGTCTCCAAACTATGGCCCTCCAGCTGTTGAAGTACTACAAGTCCCATCAGGCCTCTGGGAGTCTTGCTTGTGGCTTGTAGAGTCTTGAAAGGCCTCATGGGATTTGCAGTTGCTCAACACCTGGAGGGCCATAGTTTGGAGACCCTATTCCTAAATGAAAGATCATTCAAAAGAACCAACGTGTCATGAGCATATAAAAGTAACTGTAAAAAAGTAACAGTAAAAGTAACAGTAAAAAAGTAACCTCCAAAATGAGAAAAATTTTGCAGTGAAATTAACAATTTTGCCTTTGCCAGAATATTGTCATTAGCCTCAAATTTTAGCACATGAACTGTTTTGATGAACAAACAAAAAATCTCATGACTTTGTTTTCCACCATTTTGTGTCAGTGCTGATATGACAATCACATGACCTTGTTTATAAACAACGAATTAAAGTTAGCATTACCTTATTCCTTTTATTGTCTGCATAGGCTGGGAGACAGACTTACAGTCATCCAACAAGCCAACTGTTTTCAGCTAGATTGGAGAGGCAATCTTCCTATGTCTACAGATACCTTACATCTCCACATTTTGCAGAATACAGTAACAAAAAGTGTAGAAAATATATGTGCATTTATATAAATGTAAACCTAAAATAGAAATAGTTTGTGGTGGTAGGGTAAGTGATTAAAGGTGTTCTATGGTCACAGCATACACCTTCATTTTATAACATCAACATTGTAATAATAATAATAATAATAATAATTTTTAAACAATAGTTATTTTGACAAGCCAAAAAAAGCTTACATGAAAAATCTATTTTCATGTTAAAAGTTTTTGCTTGTCTGCTGATCATCTCTTCCCACAACTTCCTGAACTCCCCAAATGCTTTGCAGCCTCTCCTCTGCTGTTTACTCTTAATTTCTAAGGGCTACATATCCCATGGTACCTTGCTACCTGCAAGCTGTGATTTCTGTACTGACTCCGCCTCCTATCAGCACCTCTTCATATCAGGCAGACTCTGTGAAATGTGTGACACAGCAGTGCCTATTCACAGGGCATAGCTGAAGACATGTCACAGAATTCCAGAAAGTAAATACATGGGGAGTGAATATATGATTTTACATTTTTACCATAGGTAAATAGCTGTGTTATTCATAATTTTTTAGAATTCGTTTTTGACCAAACAAGGTTTAGGTGGACTTAACAGATCTATTTAAAATGTTAAGGGAAGAACACCAACCAATGTGTCAGTTTAACACTTCCAGGTATTTATTACCTCTCGCAGAGATCACTATACTCCCCATAACAATGCCTTCATCTGCTTTTCTTGCCAGAGGACTGCAACATCTTTGTTCAGGCATCATCCAGAATCACCATCTATTGTTTAGACTAGGATGCTGGCTCGGTCATGTAAATTCTGGTGCCTGCACAGTTCTTGGCGGTGTTCACCAAGGCCTAACACAGATCAGCCCCTGCTGCAGCCTGTCACCTGGCTTTCTACAAAGTTACAATGTTGCAGTCTGATCACTGGGGGAGAGGAGATGGAGGAAATTGGTCCTCCTGCCCGCAGCAGGTTTGGTCACTTTTGGACAAGTTGGATACCAGCATGATCACCAATGACAGCCACAGCTGTTTGTAGGCAAAATAAGATAGCACATACTAGGGTAATTTGGGCCTCATAACATGTGTTATATCTTTGTGTTCAGGGATTGGCTATTCATCCCAAGTCATTGTCGTCCTGCTGAACTTTTATTACATCGTTGTCCTGGCTTGGGCATTCTTCTATCTCTTCAACTCCTTCACCTCTGATCTGCCCTGGGCTTCTTGCAACCATACCTGGAACACAGGTAAGATGTATTAAACATTTCTACACTGGAATTTCCACCCATAACAGATACTACAGGTGCTGGTGTCTGCTAACAGGCTAAATCACCTGACAGTTTCTTCTATTACTCTAGTATTGGGGAGTTCTGAATTTCCACTTGCTGTTCCCATTATGAGCAGTTCCCACCATCTCTGCACTGAGGTTCAGGGTCTTAACACCTGCTGTGCCCATGCTGAGGAGTCTCCACCACACCTGAGCTTAGTTCTTGGTGTTTCAAAACTGCGGTGCCCATTATGAGTAGTTCCTATCATCCTTGCATTGGCTTTCCTTGTCTATATGCTCGCTGATCCATTGTAGGGGCTCCCACCATCTATGCCCCGAGTTCCGGGGACCACAAACCTGTTATCCCCATTATGAGAGCTTCCCATCATCTCTGCAGGTTTTTAATTTATATTTGCCACAGGAGAAGGCACTGGTAAACAGAAACTTCCATGTGGATAGGAACTGAGTTGGAAATTATAGCAGGGACATCTCATCACTAGAGTTCCCAGAAGAAATAAGAAACCAGAGACTCCATCTACACTGGAAATAACTCCTTGGGTCAAATAGAAACAGCAAATAGATAATTCTATACCAACAGTGCACCCAAAGCTGTAATTAGTTTGTCCTCGGCAACTAAAATACTTTACAAAATATTCCTGATTTACCGGTATACCTTTTTGTCATGTTTTCACCGATCTGGTCATGTGTTTCCTGTTTTTCTAGTACAATGCCTGGATAATTACAAAAGTAACAGCACACACAGCACAACAGCAAATGGCACATCAAGCGTCATCGAATTCTGGGAGTAAGTGCGCTGCTGCTATCTACCAATAACACCAACCAAAATGAGTTTTCTTGCCATTTTCATCATGTTCACAGCTATAATGGAGTTTCCATTATAGAGAGAGGGTGTGAAAGTAAACTCTTTCTACTATTCTCTGTATTTAATGCCACACTGTTTGACAACAAGGGTATGAATTTAGCCAGTTTTTAACCAAATAGAAATCAACAGTAGATTCAGGCAGCTAAAGTTAGATGTAGATCTCCACTTTGAAACACATGTTTGCCCCACTCCAGTATTGCCTCTCGAGAAACTCTTTGATGGGAGGCACCTTGGCCATCAGCAGGGCTTAGGAGGTGGGCAGGAGAAGGGACAAGCTCAGCTTTTTTTTTAAAAAGTCAAGATTTGCCTATAACTTCATATATATATATATATATATATATATATATATCTTTAGACCTAGGACTGAATTGTTATGCAGTTTTCACTGAAGGCCACCTTTTCCTATGAAATCATGTGCTTGGTTTTAATTGACAATTGGCAGATTTACTTTAATTTTAAGTTGAGAGACTTTAAATTGTATCACTGTGCAAAAATGTTCTTTAATTTTGCATGAAGGTGAGGGCCTGTGTCCTTACTGATTAAAATAGCCTTCAAGATCATGGTCGCTGCCATAGAAAGTGATGTCAAGTCCAACATTTAGTAGATGACATTAAAAAAGGAGATGGGTGAAAATCCTCAAAGGGGGAAACCTAAGGAAAAAGGAAATTTCCCCTGTTTTTGGGAAGATTTACAAAAAAAAGATCTTAGAAAATTTTTCTTTATATGTCCATGCACACATAGGCATTTACAGGCATTTAGTGCCAGAAAAAAAACCCAGTGCATTCAGGAGCAGCAGTGTTTTGCCATTTAAAAAAAAAAAAAAAAAAAAAAAAGAAGACACTTGATGCGCCTAGAAGTGTGTAAATGTGACTAAATGCATGTTAACGCTAGACGCATTTAGTGTTTGAATGTTAAATCATTTCAATGACCAGAATTAATTAAATGAATTAACACATGCCTAAACAAATGCCTTAGCATCAAAAAATGCACCTAAAGCTGTGTTTTTGTTAAGGTGTTCGTTTAGGCATGTGTTAATTCATTTCAATGACCAGAATAAATTGCTGCTCTGGCCAATGAAATGGATTACCACATGCCTAAATGAACGCCTTAACAAAAATGCAGCTTTAGGTGTGTTTTTGATGCTGCTTTTCTCCTGCCATGAGAAAGGCATTCAGGAGAGCTGGGCAAGTGCCCAGTGTGCATGAGGCCTATCCAATATATAACTTATGGCTTTGCAGTTATATATAGAATGTAAGGGTGGTGCATTGTCCCCCGGTTCACATATATGCTGCTGTGCGGGCTGCAATTTGCACGGGCACGAGAGCCCATTCATTTGAATGGACTCCCATGCCTCGGGACACGCAGGGAAGAAGTCCCTGTACTTCTTTGGAAAATGCAGCCCTCACAGGTACCTCGGTTCCCAGTGCGGTTGTGTTTTTCGGTGTGGGCAGTGTGCCATTAGAACTAATGGCACCCGCCTGCGGGTCCGCATTTCTTTGTGCGTGTGGTGTGGCTGCATGGATTTTCGTGCGGATCCGCAGCGGCACCACCCACACAGATGTTAACCTAAGGTAATAGATATCACTGAATATTCATGTCTCTGCTTATGACTCTGCTTTCCTCACTGAGCCTCTTGTGTCTACAGGAGGCGTGTATTGAGTATATCAGATGGTATCGACCACATTGGAAGTCTGCGCTGGGAGCTGGCATTGTGTCTCCTTCTTGCCTGGGTCATCTGCTACTTCTGTATCTGGAAAGGGGTGAAATCCACTGGAAAGGCAAGTTTTGGCCCAAGATTCACTGTATAGGAACACGAACGGCTTTGTGACACTATAAATCCCCTTATTTCTGTGCTCTGGTGATGTCTGGAGTTGCTGCTTAGTGGACTATAATGCCCATCTATGCAGCTACATCTCTGTGGTGCACTGTGGTCCTCTGCAGATGCATTGGATAAAACAAAGGGCTAGTGGACCTGGTGATTCTATAGTTCCAATGCTGCAAAAAAGTCAGTTGCTTAGTGACTGAGCTATACATTGCTTGGAATCAGTTAGGGCTTGTTCACATGTGCGACAGCCCTTGCTGCCTCTGAAAAGTGATCAAAGGTCAATGGCTTTTCACAGGACATTTGACTGGTGGTGAGGAAGCGATGTGTCACCTTCTCACTGTTTGATTTAACCCTGTAATTGTTGCATCACCATACTGCCATCATGTGTATAGCACAGGAATGGGCAAACTACGGCCCGCGGGCCGTATACGGCCGGCGGAGCTTTTAATCCGGCCCGCGGAGCGTGATACAAAAAAAAAAACAGCCAGGGCAGGCAAACATTTGCATCATTCAGCACGCTCAAATGCAATGATTGGCCAGTCCCGCTGCCACTCACATCCTGATAGCCAGTGATTGGCTGTCAGGATGTGTGTAGGCGGGGCAGCGTGACGAACGTGAGGGGAGCTAGGCTCCTCTCACAGTCCGCCCTGAAGACCGGAACGGCGCGGGGGAACACGGCGAGAGGAACACGCAGAGCAAAGGTAATTTAATTTATATTAATTCACACATACACATCATTCATCTACTCTTGGTCCGCCCCCCGGGTCCAATATATGAACCCATTGCGGCCCTCAAGTCAAAAAGTTTGCCCACTCCTGGTATAGCACATGGTTGGGGATGCTTGCGTTGGGGCCCCATAGACTTTCATAACTCGGTGGTGGCAAGACACGCTGAATGCAACATAATGTTTAACCTCTTCCCATCTGGCCCGTGTATATAATCGGCCAGACGGGAGCTCTGCCGATGCGGGTTAACATTTTTAAACAGGATTGTACCATATGACAAGCTGTGACCAAGCACGGCTCGCACAGTATTTCTCAATGGCTGCAGGAATGCAGCCAGAGAGAAGGAGAAATTATTGCTTTTACAGCCTTTATGGGTGTAAAAGCAATCAGTGTAAAAAAAGAAAAAAAAAATCTTCATCACTCCCCACAAGCAGTGCAGTGTCACTATGATGACACTGTACTGCTAGGGTGACAGTATGTTAAAAAAAAAAACCCAAATAATAATATAAAAAAAATAAAAAAAAGTAAGAAAAATTATAATTTTTGGTTGTAAACTAATTTGGGTTTTTTTTTTACTAAAAAGGTAGATGAATACATTTAGTCCAAGATTTATGAAGAAAGATTATTTATTTGCAAAATTTTATAAGAAAAACTTTTTTAAAAAAATTTTGGGACTTTCATTTATATATAGAAAAAATTAAAATCCCAGTGGTGAATAAATACCACCAAAATAAAGTTTTATCTGTCTCAAAAAAATGCTAAAAAAAAAATCATATGGGTACAGTGTTGCATGACTGCACAATTGTCATTCAAAGTCTGATAGCACTGAAAGCTGAAAATTGGCCTGGACTGGAAGGGGGTGAAAGTGTCCAGACTTGAAGGGTTAATTTTGGCTTTGGCTACAAAGCACAGAATCGCCCCCATGGTATGTGTACAGCAGCTGCATGCTCTGGTTCAGCGGGCATTTGGAAAGTGGAAAAAAACTATCTGCAATGGATCAGTGTGAAGCGTTTCATAGGATTTAATGGTCATGCGTTTCTCTTCTGCTTATTGCTTATTTATGCAAAAGCAGAAGAAAAACTGATCAGTGTGAAAACAGCCTTACTGATGGAATGAGATGGAATGGCCTATTTTCTCGCTATGAGTAAATTGCATCATCACCCATTAGGTACCTCTTAGAACTCATTGGGCCCTTCTCCACAGTCTGCCCTTTAATGGTAATACTAAGAGATCAGGATGGGTTAGTACAACTAAAGCCAAAATTGTTTTAATACTGAATTCTAGGTAGATATACAATAATAGACAAGATAGACACAAATAATACATATCTGTTATCATTAATACATCATTAAATGCAAGCAGTGTAAGTACCTGAATTTGACCTGGTATTATCCTGTTGCAGTCCCTGTACATACCTGACTGGTAAGTTGGAGGAAGAACTAGCACAAGGAGCCAGTTAGTTCATGTGCTGGCAATGAACATTCTGATAGGAGGAGAAAACACAGTGGCAGAGAGATGAGATCATCACTGTGCTGCTTCCCCTTTCACTGTCCTGTCATAGGCTGGGGGCAGGTTCAGGATGATCTGGGCTCAAAAGAAGTGGGTTAAATTAAGCCGGACATCTAATAGCAGAAACACTTTCGGCAGTTCAAATATCTGAAATACAGGTCAATATTTCAGTAAAGACTTGTTTCATTATTTTATCCTTTAGAGTGCTATTCATTTTTACATTATTATTTTTTAATGGAGTTCTGCTTTAACTAGTTTTGGACAGGAATGGGAGGGATTACAACGTCTGTTAAGTTTTTATTTTGGAAATGGTGAGGAAAGCTTATAGAGAAGCTGTGCTATCATCTGCACAAGTGTACCAATAACTCAAGGCCTTCAAGGAAGGACGAGAAGGTGTTGAAGAAAAACAACCAGGACACTCCTCTTCATCAAAATGAAACAGAATGTAGATGCTGTGAGGTATGTTCTCAACCGCTCACTGTCAGAATGATTGCAGAAGAAATGGGAATTACCAAGTCGATTGTTCATAAAATCATGACTCAGGATTTGAACATGAAAAAAAAAATGTGTGCAAAACGTGTTCCAAAGAACCCGTCACCTGATCAGAAAGAACCCTGTCAACTCGTTTGCCAAAACTTGTTGGCTCATTTAGAAAAAGCCTGTTTTTTGAGTTGAGTGATCATGGGAGATGAGTGTTTGAGTACGTTCCCAAGACGAAGAAACAAAGTTAATAATGGCATACACCCATGTCAACTTGCCCCAAGAAAGCTCGAATTAAATCAACACAATGGTCATTGTTTTTGTTTTTTTTCATGTGGGATTGTCCATAAGGAATTTGCACCTATTGGTGACACTGTGAATCAAAGAATTTTTTGCATGTGTCCCGGAGAGATTGGCTCAGCTTGGATCCTTCATCACGACAAGATACCGAGTCCCAGTGCTATGGCTGTCAGATAATATTTGGCTGAAAAAACCTCACAAACCCGTCACCTGATCAGAAAGAACCCTGTCAATCGTTTGCCAAAACTTGTTGGCTCATTTAGAAAAAGCCTTTTTTTGAGTTGAGTGATCATGGGAGATGAGTGTTTGAGTACGTTCCCAAGACGACGAAAGAAACAAAGTTAATAATGGCATACACCCATGTCAACTTGCCCCAAGAAAGCTCGAATTAAATCAACACAATGGTCATTGTTTTTGTTTTTTTTCATGTGGGATTGTCCATAAGGAATTTGCACCTATTGGTGACACTGTGAATCAAAGAATTTTTTGCATGTGTCCCGAGAGATTGGCTCAGCTTGGATCCTTCATCACGACAACATACCGAGTCCCAGTGCTATGGCTGTCAGATAATATTTGGCTGAAAAACACATCACGGTGCTTCCCCATCCACCCTACAGGCCTGACTTGGCTCCTTTTGACTTTTTCATATTCCCAAAGATGAAGGGTTTGAAAGGACACCATTTTGGTAGTGTGGATAATGTCTATAGACCCACTACGCAGGCTTTGAATGCCATCCCACTTGAAAACTTCCAGTGAAGCTGTGAAGAATAGAAATATCAATTGGGAGTGTTGTGTACACTCACAAGGCACATACTTTGAAGAAAACAATGTTCAATTGCAAAATTTTACGATAAAACAGTTTTTAAAATATAATTTTCATTATGTTCTGGACACACCTTGTATGTACCCTTCTTACCTCTAGAGCTCTCATATTTCTCTCACTGTTTTTCTAGGTTGTCTATTTCACGGCCACTTTCCCCTACTTGATGCTGGTAGTCCTGCTTATCCGTGGGGTGTCTCTCCCAGGGGCAATGGAGGGGATCCAGTTCTACCTGTACCCAGACCTCAGCCGACTTAAGGACCCTCAGGTACCTACAGATTATAGAGTGAAAACTTTATTTTTTACATTATTTTTATTTAACATAAATCCCAACTATAGGTTTACACATTGTAAGTGTTGAGGGAAGCCCATTGTTTACAGATCTCAATGAGTCATCACAGCAGTGACTCCTTCCTCAAATGGCCCAGTAGGAGGCTTCATTCAGACAAAGGGACCTGAAAAGCAAGCTACTCTGCTGAGCTGTCTTTTCAGCTAACCCATGGTGCTCTGGGTACCCCTTTTTCCTTTATTACATATTTATTTGTAAAACAAAGTTTGGCTATAGATAGTAACACAATCAAGTATAAGTGAACAGTTTTAAACTATCTAAAATATAAAATAACAAAAATAAAACTGACAGAATACCATTATAGTTCCGTTTACAACTCCCCTACCAAAATATACATAATCCTTCACAGTTGATACAGAAGGACAGAGATGGCTTTGCCTTTCTTGCCTGTGCTTTAACTACAAATCCACAGGCAAACTTTTAACCAGAAACATGTAGGAAAAGATCAGGGCCACATTCCGGGCTTCGGTCACAGGGCAGCAGGTGACCCGTATGTGCAGAGCCCTGCTGGGTCCCAGAGTCTGATCACAGCGTGTAGTCACATAGCGGTGTTCACAGGCGGCTGGGCTTTACAAGGTCTGTACTGAAAAACATCCTCCATGCCAGGAGCAGAGGCCTGGGGCAGGTTGTGTTTTTCCTTCTGCCAGTTTTTTCAGATGTTTTGCTCTGTGTGACACTCAGCTGTGCTTACTATGAAAAAGGGGGAATTAGTAACTCAAGGAAGCACACAGGCTAACTTTGAGGGAAGCAAATCACATAATTCTTATAAGCTGAATTATGTAATAAAACCTTCTAAAAGAAAAAAACAACAACTAGTCTGTTCACTTTTTTTTTTGTCTTTTTTTTTTTTTTAGATATGCTTGTAAAGTGGTCAGCTGAAAGTGGAGCTTGTATTGACTTTACAAGTGTACATAAATAAGTTCCCAATATATGCCAACATTATTATTTATTAAAAAAAAAAAAAACTCCACCGATCATCATTATAAAGTCGTCCTTGAGCTCCAGTCAGCAACTTTGCCTAGGCTAGGTTGGTATCTGCAGTCTGTTGCAGGCTAGAGAAAGCTCTTTTTTCAGTCTCCTCTCCCCCAGTTATCAGACTGCAACATTGTAACTTTGTAGCAAGTCAAAAGGTGATCGGCTGCAGCAGGGGCTGATCTGTGTCAGAAATTTGTGAACACAGCCAAGAACTTGCAGAGACACCAGGATTTACATGATTGTGTCATGGTGAGCTGGAATCTCAATCCAGGAAGTAGATGGTGATCCTGGAGGATGGCTGAACAAAGATGGTGCCTTCCCTCTGGAGAGAAAAGCAGATGAAGGTATTTTCAGGTAGAGTACTGTGATCTCTGTGAGAGGTAATAAATACCTGGGAATGTTACGATGATGTACTTAGCATGCATTAAAAATAAATCCACTTTAACACATACAATCTGACCTATGCATGGCAATAGCATCATTTTAAAGTATACATAGTCAGCAATATTTGCTCATTACATTTACACTCTCTGCTTCCTACTTCACAGGGGGTTTGTCCTATCTCACTGCAAGTCTACCAGAGGAAGAGACTGATTGAAATATTATTTTTGCATTTTCTAATTACTTAACATCCACAAAGCGGCCAGAGGCCTTTGGACTTTGGTGAAATGACCAGAAACTTTTTGGATTACAGTCCTAAAGATTTCTAAATGCCACTTAATTTTGAGACTCATGCTAGGATTACCACATTCATTTCACCACTGCATAGTCGTTAATGGATGCTTGTACTGTCCCATTATTATCACAGATGATCTGAATGTCTTCTGGGTCACCCCATTAATGTTGTTTGTTTTACTGATAGAATTTTTTGAGGTTAAAGGGATACCCCAAGCCTCCTTTACCAACTGATCCTTTATTTGCCATTCATTAGACTCTCCTCGGCAGGTCTGGATGGACGCAGGAACTCAAATTTTCTTTTCGTACGCCATCTGCCTGGGCTGTCTGACAGCGCTAGGGAGCTACAACAAGTACAACAACAACTGCTACAGGTACTAGTCTGCGATATACTCCCAGTGTGCCCTCTAGTGAGGTGAGGGCCAGACAATTGCCTGTTAAGAAATGTCTTTGCCTATCGCCAACTCTCCTTCGTTCCATGCAAACTGGCCTCTTCAACTTCAACTTTTCCCTTGATAATTGTCACTGTTCAGGAAATTTGCAGCCAAGTGTTAAAATCCTTAAACTGTATTTTGATATTGTTTGCAGTACATCTGGCTACCAGTTACTGCTTTAAATTTGCAGCAAGTTATTAAAGTGTGTGCATGTACAGTATAATTATATAATATATATATATATATATACACACACACTCAGTTGCAAGAAAAAGTATGTGAACCCCTTGGGATTACATGGAGTTTTGCATGAATTGGGCATAAAATGTGCTCTGAACGTCATCTAAGTCACAACAATAGAAGAACACAGTCTGCTGAACATAATACTACACAAACATTAGATGTTGCCATGGTTTAATTGCACATAACATGTAAACATTCACAGTGCACGGAGGAAAAAGTATGTGAGGCCCTAGCTTAATGACTTCTCCCAGAGCTAATTGGAGCCAGGAGTGAGCCAACCTTGACTCCAATCAGTGTGATGATACTGGATGTGTTGCTGACAGCTGTCCTGCCCTTAAAAAAACACACCTGTTTTGGGTTTACTGGTTTCAAGAAGCACTGTCTGATGTGAACCATGCCTCGCAGAAAAGAGCTCTCAGAAGACCTACGATCAAGAATTGTTTACTTGCATGAAGCTGGAAAGGGTTAGAAAAGTATCTCCAAAAGCCTTGATGTTCATGTGTCCACGGTAAGACAGACTGTCTACAAATGGAGAAAGTTTAGCACTGTTGCTACTCTCCCTAGGCATGGTCATCCTGTAAAAATGACTGCAAGAGCACAGCGCAGAATGCTGCATGAGGTAAAGAAGAATCCCAGAGTGTCAGCTAAAGACCTACAGAAATCTCTGGCACATGCTAACATTTTTGTTGACACATCTACAATAAGGAAAACATTAAACAAGAATGGAGTACATGGGAGGACACCACGGAGGAAGCCATTGCTGTCCAAAAAGAATATTGCAGCACGTTTGAAGTTTGAAAAAGAGCACCTGGATGTTCCACAGCACTACTGGCAAAATATACTGTGGACAGATGAAACCAAGATTGAGTTGTTTGGGAAGAACACACAACACTACGTGTGGAGAAAAAAAAGGCACAGCACACCAACATCAAAACCTCATCCCCACTGTAAAACATGGCGGAGGGAGCATCATGGTTTGGGGCTGCTTTGCTGCCTCAGGGCCTGGACGGATTGTTGTCATTGATGGGAAAATGAATTCCAGAGTTTATCAAGACATTTTGCAGGAAAACGTACGACCATCTGTCCGCCAACTGAAGCTCCGCAGAGGATGGGTGATGCAACAGGACAATGACCCAAAGCATACAAGTAATTCAACAAAACAATGGCTGCAACAGCACAGAATACGCCTTCTGGAGTGGCCCAGTCAGAGTCCTGACCTCAATCCAATTGAAATGCTGTGGCATGACCTTAAGAGAGCGATTCACACCAGACATCCCAAGAATATTGCTACACAAACAGTTTTGTGAAGAGGAGTGGTCCAAAATTATTCCAGATCGTTGTGCAGGTCTGATCTGCAACTACAGGAAACGTAGTATTATGTTCAGCAGACTGTGTTCTTCTATTGTTGTGACTTAGATGACGTTCAGAGCACATTTTATGCCCAATTCATGCAAAACTCCATGTAATCCCAAGGGGTTCACATACTTTTTCTTGCAACTGTATATATAGTGGTGTATTTAGGTTACGTGTTGCCCTAGGCAAAACAAAAATTGGCTCCCCCCCTCCATGGAGAGAGACCCTGACACCGACCAACACCCCCTCTCCCCCACGAAGAGAGCCTGGCATTGACCAACAACACCACCGCCCCCCACGCCCACCCGAGAGAGCCTTTTACTACCACCGCCCCCCATACAGCGGAACAAGAGTCAGGCTCTGCATACACCATTAACAGCCCACAGCCTCTCTCAGATCCCTGTGCTGCGTGTCCCTTCTTCCTTTCCTTCTTTCAGGGGACGGTACTGCCCCCCTGAAAAATGCCACCCTAGGCAAATGCCTTGTTTGCCTTGTGGTAAATACACCCCTGTATATATATACACACACACACACCTAAAAAAAAATTAAAGAAACACTTTTTAGAGCCAGTTCACACTACAAAAAGGCACTCCGGATACGTTTTTGCTTGCAGTTCACACCACACGCAGTTTTGATGCAGTTTGCTATGTTCCACTATGGTTCTATGCAGCAAAAATTCTACTTTTTTTTCTGCAACGGAAATGACAGACTGGAAATGACTGCACTGGTGTGCACTAGGGCCATTGGAATACATGGAAAACACTGTGCATGCATTTTTGATGCAGAGAAAAAAAAGCACTGAACTGCATCTAGTGTGAACTAGCCCTTATTCAGAATATAGCATCAAGTCAATTAAACTCCTGGGATATTGATCTGGTCAGTTAAGTAGCAGAGGGGGTTGTTAAAAAGTTTCAGCTGCTTTGGTGTTAATGAAATTAACAGGTGCACTAAATGGGCAAACGATGAGACGACCCCCAAAACAGAAATGCTTTTACACGTGGAGGCCACTGATATTTTTTCCTACTCATCTTTTCTGACTGTTTTTCACTAGTTTTGCATTTGGCTAGGGTCAGTGTCACTACTGGTAGCATGAGGCAATACCTGGACCCTACAGAGGTTGTACAGTCAGTCCAACTCCTCCAGGATGGCACATTAATACGTGCCATTGCCAGAAGGTTTGCTGTCTCTCCCAGCACAGTCTCAAGAGCATGGAGGAGACTCAAGGAGACAGGCAGATACTCTAGAAGAGCTGGACAGGGCCATAGAAGGTCCTTAACCCACCAGCAGGACCGGTATCTGCTCTTTTGTGCAAGGAGGAACAGGATGAGCACTGCCAGAAAATTGATAATATTAAATAACTCCCAAACTCGCCTGATCTAAATCCAATAGAACACCTCTGGGATATCATGTTTTGGTCCATCTGATGCCACCAGGTTGCACCTCAGACTGTCCAGGAGCTCAGTGATGCCCTGGTCCAGATCTGGGAGAAAATCCCCCAGGACATCATCCGTCATCTCATTAGGAGCATGCCCCAGTGTTGCCTGGCATGAATACAAGCACGTTGGGGGCCAAACAAACTACTGAGTACCATTTTGAGTTGCTGCAATGAAATTTCAGCAAAATGGACTAGCCTGCTGCATCATTTTTTCACTTTGATTTGATCACTTTTTGATTTTTGGGGTGTTTTTGAATTCAGTCCTCTGTAGGTTGACAATTTTCATTTACATCAAACAATGGGGCATCCTCACGTTCCTAACACATTACCCAGTTCATACCAGTATAGATATCCAGCATGATATTTTTTTCCCCATTGAGATATGATGTGTTTTCAAAGTGTTCCTTTTTTCCGAGCAGTGTATATTTTGTGATATGGGGGATGCTTAGCTTAGTAGTAGATACATTTTTAAGTGAGTCCATACCAGACAGGAACTAAATTTGAGGGTCTAGTAGCCCACTTTTATTAAACGGTAAATGAAGAGTCCATCCAATGCAGTGTTTCCCACGTAGGGGTTTTTAACTGCACACACCAAAAAATACAAAAAAAATAATGCGGAGACACCTGACTCTTGGGTCAGCAGTACCTCTGCGCAGTTTTGGGCCTCCCAGACCACTGGCTATACAGGATCTCTCAGCCTAGATGACAACACCTTGCTGTTCAGGCCCCACATGGGCTTTTGACAGGGTTTCCCAGTAACTCTGCTTGCTCCCTCCAGCCCCCTGGACTCACTTGCCTCTACATCTTCCTCAGCCTCTCGTAGCTGACCAGCCTTTCCTAGTCCTTGGACCCAGAATCCTCCTAACATGGGTTGTAGTCTCCTCCAGGAACTCCCAGCTCTCCTGTCAAGCTCTGTCTTCAAACTGCAGCAAGTTCTGTTCCTGAGCTAAGCCCAGATCTGCTTTATATCGAATGTGCGCACCTGAACACATACACACCTGACAGAATTTTAGGAAAACCTGGACACAGGACTGAAGACTTTATCCCTCCCAATACTCTTTGGAGCCTTCAAGTTACAGATTTACCAAATCCAGGGAAAACAAAACTTCTGTTGGCGCTTCTCATACTGACTCTTTGAAAGTCGATAGAGAGAGAGAGAGAGAGAGAGAGAGAGAGATCATGGAAGAATTAGAACCCCTGTCAGGTTTGTGCTACTGTTTGTGCTCCCTCTGGGAAGATTAAACCTCTAATTCTCTTCTGATCATTGTCTTTGAGAAAGAAAGGGAAGTGAAATCCAACATTTTACAACTGTCGCCAAAATAGGAATAGAGGGGTAATCTTTCAATTTCAACACTACATTAGTTTTGGTGGCAACTACATAGGAGGTGATTTCCTATCACTTCACTTTCCTTTGCTGACCTCAAAATCAATACTGTCCTGCAGTGATGTAGAGGTCAGCAGAAGGAACCATTGAGAACTGTGGGGGACCCAGGAGAGTGACACTCCAGGAAGTGGAGATAATTCCTCGGCAATGGAATATCATTCAGTGGCATGGGTACATTCTATTTTTTTTTTTTTTTTTTACATTCTGGTTTGAAACTTTTTTATAATGTGAAAGGGTCTCCAGCTGATCACATGGAAGGAGCTATAGGGCCATATGTGACCTGGAAGATGCCAGTCTGACCTGTGTGGCTTTGAATGTCTGCATATCCATGGTTGACAGATATTTGCTTATTGCCTTGTCACATTGTAGCAGTTATATCAGATTTATTTTTTTCTTTTGCCAGGGACTGCATTGCTCTGTGCTTTCTTAACAGCGGCACTAGTTTTGTGGCAGGTTTTGCAATCTTCTCCATTCTGGGTTTCATGTCACAAGAGCAAGGGGTGCCAATATCTGAAGTGGCAGAGTCTGGTGAGTATGTCAACCTACAGCCTGCATACAACCCATGGGCTCAGAAAAATTGATCTAATACACTTTAATACATCCCTCCTAGTTGCATTGTTTTCCCTTAAAATGTATTTCCACCTTTGCAAACACATTGTTGAACCTCCCACTCTATGTTGGTTATGTGTTCTTATTTACACAGTATACCTAAAAATATATATATTTAAATATATCTTACTTTTCTAGTTTGTTACTTTAAAACAGTTTTTTACTTAGGACACTATAGCAGCTTCTATTGCTTAGGATAGAGGCAGTGTGAAGATAAGTGACAAAGTGAAGGAGATTAAACCAGAACTGAAGGGTTTATACCCACCTGTTCAATGGTCCCCTGCCAGCACTGAGATCTTCATATGAGTGCCAGTCTTTAGGCCTCTTCATTGGCCAGCGCAGGATGATCATTCCTTCACATGCACAGGAGTCCGTCATTCAGGCACTCAGAGACCGGCACAGTGATGTAAGCTGTGCAGATCTCAGTTTGCAGGGCCAGAGAAAACAGCAAGCTGGCAGGTATGGATGTTTTAATGCAGAAGAGACATGCAAGAAGACGAAAGCCTGCCTGCTCACTGTTTGCTAGAAGGGAACTTCAGTTCCCCTTTAAGACTCTGTTCACACACAGTGCTGTGAACTGCATTTTACTGAACTGGATAAAAGCAGGCAACCGCTAGGACACATAGAAAACAATGGTTTTCTATTCTGTTCACACTGCAGCACAGCCCAGAGGTAAGGTGCAGTGAGCTGCAATAAAATTCAAACATGCTGCATTTTTATCAGCTTACAGGACAGGATTGCATGTCACTGTACAGCAGAGCATTGCACCGTGCTGCTGTACAGTGACATAAATAAAGTTTCAATTTGTGCACTTCAAAAAAAGGAACTATGTGATGCACTGAAATGCGCCCCCTACTGTCAGCTCACTGCAGCCAGAACGGACAGCTGCCTCAAACTAAACTGCTGTGGTTTAGTGTGCGGCAGCTCTCCAGGGAAGTTTGAATGGGCCCTTATGTTATGTGAATAGGAAAATGTAATGAATATAAAGTAGGTGTTATCCCAGTTTGGATGCAAAAGCAGACATACACTTTTAGTAGTTTTCAGGGAAAGAACTTCAGTGGGCAGTAGAGGCTCTAGCATCTGACACTTGAATGACAGGTTTAGCTTGGCGGAGTAAGTTAATCTTGACTTGGACTGAAGTCAGCCTTGGTTTAGTATCCTGGGAACTAAGGCACACGGAAGTTGTTTTATAAAAACTAAGTGAAGAATATGTGGGCACTTCAGGAACCTGCACTTAGGCCAAGGAAGGTGCACATTACGATATAGGTTGTGATTAGGCTTTTGCAAAAATTGGAACTATATTACAACTCTGCAGGGTTATTTAAAAAAGAGTTTTTAGCTTGACCCACTTTGTCTGGGTCTGGGGGGTGAGATGTCACTTGAGTTCTGCTGCCTGTCAGCTGCCTGACTTCATACAGATTATAAAATTTACAGTTCTGCTTTATCCCACTGAGAGAATCAGAATAGCCAAACCATGTATCAGCAGCACAAAGTGGAACCTGCATATGTGATAAACTCAATTGCCTGCTCCTATGTACATAAGAATTACAATGACCGTTTTTAGAATGTTAGCAGGTAGTAATAATAACAACATTCACATCCTCTCTTCTTCCTCCCACAATGCAGCTTAGTCAGGAGCTGAGCAGCCAGTCCACAAGTCCAAGTGCTGTCACATGGGGCACGTGGGGGGAGGGTGGGGTCCCTAAAGTCCTTTTTTTGGGCGTGTCTTAATTTATATCATAAACCTTCCCTATCTTGATTTGCAACACCTTTTTGTTTTTTTGTTTTTTTTTGTTTACAAACGTTTTTATTTAGTTTTTTTTTGTCAAGACATATACTACAAAATGGCAGTACAGTATCAAGTAAAGCATACAACAAGAACAAGGCACATCTGTAATGCATATTTCAAGTGGTACAGCCATGTAAAATAAAAAAAAAAGGAAAAAAAATAGAAGAGAAATTAAGTACATGAGCAGTATAAGTAGAGGGGTATGTAACGCTATATAGCTTCCAAGAAAAATGACTCAATCAACCAAAATATGAGTGGACATTAGCCAGATAGTAAATGCCTATAAGTTCTCCAGACTTCCCATTTTCTGTCAAATAAGTGCATCTTATCCAGTAAGGTGTAATGAATTCTCTCCATGAGCATCACTGCATTAATTCTATTCAGAACTGTGGCCAATGGTACCATGAGGGACTTCCAATGTAGGGCTATAGCCCATAGGGCAGATATACAGATGGTATGGATTAGCCTCATAATCTTAATTCGGACTCCCAGGATATGGGCTCCTAGTAGGCAAGACTCCATAGACAGATGCACCGGGGCCTCTGCCACAGCAGAGGCCTCATCCGAGATCTTGCGCCATAACAATGAGAGGCTTGGGCAGTCCTAAAATATATGCACCAAGGTACCAGTAAGGCCGCAGCCCCGGAAGCAAAGGTGGGACGTCCCTGGAAACATGACATGTAATCTAGATACAGTATAATACCATCTGGTTAATATTTTGAGGGCAGTTTCCCGGACAGAAAGAGATCTAGAGCTCTTACATATATTATCCACCATGGACTCCCAATCCTCATCAGAGAAGGTGACATCACCATCCTCTTCCCACTTCTGTCTATAAAGGGGGGGAGATGGGAAGGCAGCAACCAGAAATTGGCGATACAAATCCGAAATTATACCCCTACCCCTGGGAGAGTCACGGCTAACATGTTCGAAAAGTGAGATCGGGGAGGAAGGTATCAGACAAAAATATGGGAGGAAAAAAATGTCAAATCTGTCGATAATGATAATATTCTCTGAGCGGGATGTCAAAAAGTATACAAAGCATCTCAAAAGTGACATAAGACCCTCTCCTTTGAAAGTCACATAACCTGATGAGGGATCTATCATACCACCAACGAAATGCCTGTGGGGATGAGAATGCCTGTGGGGAGATGGGAAGGCAGCAACCAGAAATTGGCGATACAAATCCGAAATTATACCCCTACCCCTGGGAGAGTCACGGCTAATATGTTCGAAAAGTGAGATCGGGGAGGAAGGTATCAGACAAAAATGTGGGGGGGAAAAAATGTCTAATCTGTCGATAATGATAATATTCTCTGAGCGGGATGTCAAAAAGTATACAAAGCATCTCAAAAGTGACATAAGACCCTCCCCTTTGAAAGTCACATAACCTGATGAGGGATCTATCATACCACCAACGAAATGCCTATGGGGATGAGAATGCTATAGGAAAATTCGGGTCACCAAAAAATGATGAACCTGGAGGGATAGAGGAGATAAGCTTAAATTTAAATTTATATCAGGACCAAAGCATTAGCGATTGGGCAACAATAGAATTATAAGTCAATAATAAACGGGGGGGGGGGGGGGGCGTTTTTGACCAAAATATGCCTGGAAGAGAGTATGGACGGATAGACTGGGATTCAAATCTAATCCAAGGGATCTGGGAATTGATAGTTGACCATTGAGATATCAAAACGGGTCGACAGGCAGTAAAACCAGAAATTGGGGAGACCAAAGCCTCCCGTCCGTTGCGATTGGTATAGGACCGATGAGGTAAAACGAGGGCGTTTATTTTGCCAAATAAAATTATTAATCATTCGTTGAAAACGATCTAAGAATGCCTTCGAGACTAAGATAGGGAGTGACCTAAATAAGTAAAGTAATTTAGGCAAGATGTTCATTTTTACTGCTGTGACTCTGCCCAAGAATGAAATGGGGTACCCATGCCAGACCTTCAAAAGAGTAGCAAGGCGAGACACACACTGTGGGTAATTAATGGTAAATAGTTTTTAAAAGTTGGGAGTGAGGTAGATACCTAGGTATGGGATCCGGTCAGTGGCCCAACCAAAGTGGGTATAATTGAGGCCAACCTATCTGCCAGAATACGGCTAAAAATTTTCAGTTTATTGTTCATTACCAAAATAGGTCTATAGTTTTGGGGGAGATGGTGGTCTTTTAAGGGTTTAGGCAAAAGAGACATATTAGACAACAGCATCTCCTCAGGGAACCTGCCGCCCTGCAAAACATGATTGAACAACAACAGCAAAAAATGAGCAAGTGTAGTAGCAAAATGTTTATAATAGCTGGTGGTAAACCCATCAGGGCCCGGTGCTGTGGAAGTTCTTAGTGCGCTAATCACACGCGTTATTTCCTCCAACGTACATGGGGCATTAAGGGAGGATACTACCTTTTTGTTTTTTACTTACCTCTCTTCTGTCAAAATAAAATTGCAGGGCACCCACATGATGTAGGTGTAGCCTGCAAAATTAGAAGGGGTTGCTGAGGAGGTCAGTTATCCAGCATGGATGACCTTTCTCCTCAACAAGAAACTCTGCCTAAGATGGTTATATGGATGTCCTGCCTGCCAGTTGGATGTTTGCGTTAGATCTTGCTGTGAATGCGCAATTGTAATGGAGGAAGATGGTTGAATATAATGAGTGTCCCATGTCACCACTATTGAGCTATTTTGAACCACTAGCCTGTTTGCTGTGACACTGACCAGCCTGGTCGTAATCCCTTCCATCCTCTCTGACCCAGGGAATAAGTATCCCGCTTTCTACAGCAGCCATTCATTAGGGGTGAAAATGTCCTTACAATCCCTTTATATATAAACTCAGAAAATGGGCAAGGCCATTATGGGCTATTATTTGTTTTATGTGGAGAGGAAGAGCATGGAAGAGGACAGCGTGACTTTTCTGAGGTACGCGGACTATAAGCATGTGTATGTTACTTGGTAGAGAAGCTCACAGTTCAGGTTTAAAGCAGAAAACTAACTGGGTAAACTATGGTTTCTTAGCACTAAAGGTGAGTTGCCATGTTGTAAATGAACTCTTCTTCTAAACATGTCCTTGGTCTGCAGGTCCAGGACTGGCATTCATTGCTTACCCCCGTGCCGTCTCCATGATGCCATTCTCTCCTCTGTGGGCCTGTTTTTTCTTTATCATGGTCATTCTGCTGGGACTAGACAGCCAGGTATGTAAGAATCCATTATTCTCCTTATAAACTGTCTCATTCCCTGGGGGTGTCTTTTACCTGAAATGACAGATGATAATTTAGGGAACTAAGTAATAGTTAGACGTGGGTGGGCTAATTTGCTTTCCCATTTCGTATGCCTTTTATAGACCTAATCGGTGAGATTATAAAGAAGTGGTTTGTGTTCATACCACAAATTCATAATGAAGATGTCACTCACTTGCTGTTGGGTTCCCAAATTATTTGTTCATTCTGCATGATAGGAAAACAATTGGGGGAGGTTAACACTACCATTTAAAGTATACTAAAGGGAAAACATCTTTTTATGTTTTGGATAGAATGGAGAGGGATTAGAACACCTGTCAGGGTTTCATTGTTGTTTGAGCCCCTGTAAGAAAGAGTCACCCTCTCTATTTGTCCTGGTGACTGTTATCATTGATCGTGAAAGTAAAAGAAAATCTTAAATTTTGGGTTGTCACTAGAACAGTGATAGAGGGGAAATCTTCCAATGCGGCATGAGTTTTGGTGACCTGGTGAAAACCAGGGATTCCTTCATTTTGGAAAAAAAGTAATAATCTTACTCTATCTAAAATGAAAACAAAAATTGCCTTTAGTTTTACTTTACTTATATAGATAGATAGATAGATAGATAGATAGATAGATATGAAGAGTAGATTTTGTTACACTGAACTCTTTTGTGGTCCATGACATCCATCTAAGGTGAAACAGGGAACACCCTTTTCACTTACAGTTGGCATGGTATCATTCTGGAGAAGCGTTCTGTATAAGATAAAGAATCTCCTGCTTAACCTCCTCCTATACTCCCATCAGTGCTCAGTAGAAAGGCCCCCTTCTCTGGGGTACAAAGCGCAAATAAGAAAAGCCACATTCTGATTTCCAAATAAAGTGATTTCAATGTTATGCTGGAGCAGTTCACTCATATAAAGCATTGTGTAAACTGCTCACTTACTAAGTGAAAGAAATTCTAACTAACCATTACTATTTGGATATTACAAAGCAAATGGACAGTTAGGTCATTATGAAGAAAGTCTTTTATTTATTACTTGTCTTAGATGTGGCACTGTCCAGATCTAGGTGGGAGAGGTTCTAGCACCCACTCACCCACAACTAGTAAAAATAGGCTCCCAGAGCGCCCTTGTGCAGCTGCATAGTCTCTGCAAATGGTACATCTGCCCCTGTCTTTGCCTCACTGTTACCATTTGCAGTCTTTCGTCACTGAAACTGAGTCTGTTTTCTGCTTTGTTCCTCCTGGCTTAGTTTGTGTGTGTAGAGAGCCTAGTGACCTCCTTGGTAGATATGTATCCCAGCACATTCCGTAAGAAGAATCGACGGGAGCTACTGATCCTGGTGGTCTGCATTTTCTCCTTCCTCATTGGACTAGTCATGCTAACTGAGGTATGAGGGATGGGGTGGTGGGGGTAAGGATTGGAATTTAAGGTAGGAAGTTGAGCTAATAATTTATAATCACCACCAAAATTATGAATTTTATTTACCTTAATATTTGAAAATTTCAAATGATAAAAAAAATGGCTTAATGGAAACCTGTTGCCTACAGTCAAAATCTTTCTCTGTTCTGAGAATCATGATTGAACCTTAAACCTAACCATATGCAACCTAATATACAAAGCAATCATTTATTTCAAAATTTCCTACACTCCCTTCTGTCAAATATTTTGCAATTATAATCTTGGGCACCCCCTGTATTAGTACAGAGTATTCAAACCATTACCCAACCTTCTTTCTTCCCAGTGACTAGTACATTGCCATCATTTTTTGGCCTTATTGTCACCTTTTCTTTTGTAGGGTGGCATGTATGTCTTCCAGCTCTTTGACTATTACGCGGCCAGTGGGATGTGTCTGCTGTTTGTAGCTATTTTCGAGACTCTGTGTATTGCTTGGGTGTATGGTGAGTATTATCACAGTATATATCTCTGCTGTTTAATGACAGGTACCCTCTAATGACACTCTAATGACACATGGACAACAGCTTTAATGACTTGATTGGTTACACCTAAATTTTATCTATCTATCTATCTATCTATCTATCTATCTATCTATCTAGGTTTTTCTATTACATCCTTGGCCAAACGGGCAAAATTTATGACAAAACAATATATGTTTATGAAAAAATGAAAGTATGTATCTATCTATCTCTATACAGGTGCGGATAACTTCTATGACAATGTGGAGCACATGATTGGGTACAGGCCTCTGCCCCTCATTAAGTATTGCTGGCTGTTTGCTACTCCTGCTGTTTGCCTGGTGAGAGGGAGGTAGTTGTGATGTAGGGGGTGGGTACCATGGTTCAGTTAAGTACTAGTTGTTAAAAAAGTTTGAGAGACTGCCAGCTCACACCTTTTCATATCCTTTACCTTATTCCAGGCCACGTTCATCTTCTCCCTGGTGAAGTACACTCCATTACAGTATAATAAACGCTACACATACCCATGGTGGGGAGATGCTGTCGGCTGGCTTCTGGCAATTGCCTCCATGGTTTGCATCCCGCTGTGGGTTTGCTATAAAGTCGCAACCATTAAAGGGCCGTTGGCACAGGTAAGATGGCTACACCATATTCTTTTTATATATCAAAGCATCTAGATTTTGCTGAAGTGAGGGCTTACATACAGAGTTACAGAGAATCCAAGAAGATAAGATTCACCCTTCAAGATGATATTCACTGGTCATTTTTGCATTAGTCCATAAAAAATACAAAATGGAAGATGCAACGCTGATAAGCAGAAAATTGTTTATTTACTATGCTGAGGTCTCAACAGGGAAATATAAAGTGGGGCCCCAGAGGTGTATCATGAAGTCAGTGGGCCCGTGTTCAAGATCAAAAGTGGGCCCTTACGCGTGGCTTAAAAGGGGTGTGGTTAAGTAGAGTCTGAGACTTACATAGTGCGTAGGTTTTTGGTATGTACAGGGAGAGGGGTATGGAGTGTATGGCGGTGGATAGTATGTTCAGGGAGGGGAGTGTATGGCGTGGGTAGTATGTACAAGATAGGGGTACGGAGTGTATGGCTGTGGATAGTATGTGCAGGGAGAGGGGTACGGAGTGTATGGAGGTGGGGTAGTATGTGCAGGGAGAGGGGTGAGTTTATGGAGGTGGGTAGTATGTGCAGGGAGAGGGATATTGAGTGTATGCTGGTGGGTAGTATGTGAAGGAGAGGATTGCGGAGTATATGGCGATGGGTATTATGTCCAGGCTCCTTCCACTACAGAAGGGCCCCCAAATTGCCCTTTACATTAGAATCCCCAAAGTTCGATGTTTCATCAGGGTCCCCAGAGTCCCCCCTCCTTAAAACGGGGTCCCCAGATTCCCTGTTTCATTAGAATCCCCAAAGTCACCTCTCCACATCAGGGTCCCCATAGCTCTCTATATCAGGGTCCCTAAAGCTCCCTTACATCAGGGTCCCAAGAGCCCCCCTTACATCATGCTTCCAAGAGCCCCCCTACATTAAGGTCCCCAGAGCCACACCTCAGCTGTAGCGTCTGATACGTCTCATCCATGGGTGCAGTGTCTGTTGGAGCACAGTGGACCCTACCCCCTCGTGGCCCATGTGCAGCGCCCGCACATCACCTATGTATGATACGCCACTGGGGGGGCTCCCATATGAACTTCATTCCAGCTTCCCACACCCACTGCCATTCTGGCTACTAGGGCCCTGGAGAGGTAATAGCCTAGTTTGCCCCACAGCCCTGTCTAGAGTGAAGTCCCAGCATGCCGTCCAATGCTGTTTCTCCAACTTCTATAGAGCTACAAGTACTAGAATATCTAGCTGGAGTTTCTCATATCTGTCACAGAATACGTAACTACATACCATTATAGAGTAGGTGAAAAGTGAACAAGCGAACCACACAGAGCGCTATGACTGTATGTATGTGTGAACGCGTGATCTCAGAAGGACGTTATGTCATGCATTTTAAAAATGTGTGATAGTTATTGAGAATGTAAACCAACTCTGTGTATAAGGGGCCCCCCAGAACCTGAAGTGCTCTGGGCTCCCAAAGGTCTAAATCTGACCCCGACTGTAGCAAAGTTCAGCGGCGCAGAGAAGGGGGGAGTATTTGCTATCTTCTTTGCAGGGGGGCACTTTTAATGACAGTTTTATTCGTTCAGTGACAACAGTAATGGCAACAGGTATTTGGTTCACTCTGGTAGGAGTGGTGTGGTCCTTGTAATGGATAAGGAACAAGAACAATGAAGAATATAATAATGATAAATGATCTTAGAGTAAGTGTTCAGGAAATGAATATAAGTCTGTAGACACTAGCTTTACTTGAGGGCTGCCAGCTGAGGAAGAGCTAGAAGGAACTCTGTAGGGAGATCAAAGGAACAAAAGCGGCGCCTTCTAAGTGCAGCTAGTTAAAACCTTTAATTCTAAATGAGTAGTAAAAAACTAAAAACATGATGAAAGAGCGCTTTTAGTACTACAGTGCATCTGCTGTGGTCCAGATAGTGGATCACTGTCCAGTGGTGTAGAGCTGAATGACACGGCGGCATTGGTGGCTCCCAGGACTTCAGGCCTGAACACGGAGCACGCATGCTCCAAACGCTTGCCACCCTCCACTACCCTGGTGACCAGAAGTAATGTCGGTACGTCTTCCTGGTGTACCTGAATCCATAGCAAGTGCCAGGAGCCACCAGCACCGCCGTGTCATTCGGCTCTACACCACTGGACAGTGATCCACTATCTGGACCACATCAGATACACTGTAGTACTAAAAGAACTCTGTCATCATCATATGTTTTGTGAGTTTTTTTACTGCTCATTTAGAATGAAAGGTTTTAACACGCTGCACTTAGAAGGCGCTGCTTTTGTTCTCTTTAGTCGTTCAATGACACCTTTCATATTGATTTCAGTGTATTTTCCCTTATATTATGAACTTTGCAAAAATACCTCAATTTTTCTCCTAAAATAAAACAAAGGGAGAACTCTCAAGTTTGTCCATCCATTATTCTTTTGTTCCATTTGCCAGTGAGAAGCAATAAATGGTTATACACAACAGACAGTGCTCTGCAGTCCACAAGGCCACTTGAGGCGGCACTTAATGCAGCATGGTGGGTGGCAGCACCAAGGCTGAAGTGTCCATGCCATTCCATCCTGCAGCTTGGTAACCCTGAACCACAGACTCAGCATTACTAAGCTGCCTGCCTGGACACTGTGTCGGTTACACAAGCAGATGCAGAAGCCCAGCTTCTTCAGTGACGTGGAGCTTGCTAAAAGTGCAGATTCAGAATCACTGAGCACAGCGCTCCCATCCACTGCACCTGCTTGTATGGAAGGCACAGCAGCCAAGCAGGCAATTCTTTTCAGTTATCCATAGCCTGCCCTTTTAACAGGCTCATCATCTCTGAGCAGGTTACCTATGGGTGTGTGAGTGCACACAGACACTGGTAACACAACTACCCAAGGCAGCCATCTTTGCTGTGGAGGAGCAGGAAAAATGTAGGCCTTGCATTTGCAGAATGCACAACCCTGGCAACAGAAAAGTATTTTGTCGAATGGTTTGACCTGCTAAGTAGACCAAAAAGCAAAAGCAGGCTGGTTCAGTCCCCTTCTTGTACCACTCATCAGCCCCTATCTCTACTACATTATTTCCAAACCTGATCAGTGCTTATACTTTTCTTCATCCAGAGATTTCGTCAGCTTACCTGTCCGGACCCCGACCTGCCACAAAAGCAGCTGAGAGATCGACAGACACAAGCAACAACTATATCTCCACTGGAAGAGTCCCTGTGCTAGGACAAGGCTGTGTGTATGTGAGCAGTACACGGCGTGTGCAGGGCCGATGTGTTTTTCTGGGCACAGTGACAACGGTATAAATGCTTACGGTGAGGGTCACATCTACACGCATTCACAGATGATGTCAACAATCGTGTAAACACACACACCTGCACAAATGCTGGAACGGACTGTCTACACAGCTGTGTTTTTGTCCTGCATATGCTCCACATCTCGAGGACATTTGCGCAGTATGAAACAGACTTGTAAAACGCACATTTTTTTTTTTAACTTTATGCATTCCATTAATTAAAGCCATGATTTACAGTTTGTGACATGTCAACACTTTCTCTCCCCAATTCTGTGGAAAAGCCAGTCTTGGAGTTTGTCACATGGCCTATGGCTGCTTTCCGTAGTATTGCATTAAAAGGTATAATGATTTTTATTTCACAGTAGGCACCAAAAATAAGTGATTTTTGTTCTGTGATATTTCAGCTGAAACAATGTCTTTATTATACATCTCAAAAGAGTATTAAGAACTTTGCCAAGTGCTATTATCAAACATGGGTGTATAAGTTAATCAGCGGAGGCTTAGAGCTGAACTCCCGGCAGATATTAAGGACCCGCATGAATGCAGCTCTGTAATCATTGGTATGTTATTTAAAGCGGTAGTAAACCGTAACTAAAAAAAGAAATCCTCTGCAAGGTAATGCCATAATGTGTTAGTATGCGATGTATACCAGCACATTATGAAGAACTTACCTTAAAACAAAGCCCTGCATCGGTGCGCTGTCACTGCCGCAAAGGCTTCCATCCTCACCCGCCTTCCAGGTTTGCCAGTTCCGGCAGTCAGGCTGTTCGAGTCGCAATGTCACTCCCACGCATGCACGGGAAGTCTCAAGTGCTCTGAAGGAATAGCACTAGCACAGGTATGTCATTCCTTCAGAGCGTATGTGCCAACTCCCAAAAAGAGCAAATATCTCCTAAACGGCGCACGTTTAGGAGATATTAATTTTACCTACAGGTATGCTTTATTATAAGTTTACCTGTAGGTAAAAGTATAAAAAAAAGAGTTTACTACCACTTTAATGTATTTTGTTATACAAATAGTGTAAGTACACTGCACAAAAAAATTAAAATAGCATTTTGAAAACACATCAGATCTCAATGGGGAAAAATATCATGCTGGAAATCTATACTGATATGGACTGGGTAATGTGTTAGGAATGTAAGGATGTCCCATCGTTTGATTTTTTGGGGTGTCTTTGAATTCAATCCTCTGTAGGTTGATTTTATTTCTATCAAAGTGAAAAAATGATGCAGCAGGCAAATCCATTTTGCTGAAATTTCATTGCAGCAACTCAAAATGGTACAAAGTAGTTTGTATGGCCCCCACGTGCTTGTATGCATGCCTGACAACGTCGGGGCATGCTCCTAATGAAACGATAGATGGTGTCTTGGGGTACTTCGTCCCAGATCTAGGCTAGGCATCACTGAGCTTCTGGACAGTCTGAGGTGCAACCTGGCGGTGTCAGATGGGCCAAAACATGATATTCCAGAGGTGTTCTATTGGATTTAGGTCAGGCGAGCGTGGGGGCCATTCAATGGTATCAATTCCTTTATCCTCCAGGAACTGCCTGCATACTCTTGAAACATGAGGCCAGACATTGTCGTGCGCCAGGAGGAAGCCAGGACCCACTGCACCAGCGTAGGGTCTGACAAAGGGTCCTAGGATTTCATCCCGATACCTATAGGCAGTCAGGGTGCCATTGTCCATCCTGTAGAGGTCTGTGCGTCCCTCCATGGATATGCCTCCCCAGACCATCACTGACCCACCACCAAAATGGTAATTCTGAACGATATTACAGGCAGCATAACGTTCTCCACGGTTTCTCCAGACCCTTTCACATCTGTCACATGTGCTCAGGGTGAACCTGCTCTCACCTGTGAAAAGCACAGGGAGCCAGTGCCGGACCTGCCAATTCTGGTTTTCAATAGCAAATGCCAGTCGAGCTCTATGGTCCCGGGCAATGAGCACAGGGCCCCCTAGAGGACGTCGGACCCTCGGGCCACTCTCATGAAGTCTGTTTCTGATTGGTCAGCGACATTCACAATAGTGGCCTGCTGGAGGTCATTTTGTAGGGCTCTGGCAGTGCTCATCCTTTTCCTCCTTGTCCAAAGGAGCAGATACCTCTTCATGGGTTAAGGACCTTTTACGGCCCTGTCCAGCTCTCCTAGAGTAATTGCCTGTCACCTGGAATCTTCTCCATGCTCTTGAGACTGTGCTGGGAGACACAGCAAACCTTCTGGCAATGTTACGTATTGATGTGCCATCCTGGAAGAGTTAGACTGCCTGTGCAACCTCTGTAGGGTCCAGGTATCGCCTCATGCTACCAGTAGTGACAATGACCCTAGCCAAATGCAAAACTAGTGAAAAACAGAAAAGATGAGTAGGGAAAAAAATGTCAGCGACCTCCACCTGTAAAACCATTCCTGTTTTGGGGGTCGTCTCATTGTTGCCCACCCAGTGCACCTGTTGTTAATTTCATTAACACCAAAACAGCTGAAACTGTTTAACAACCCTCTCTGCTACTTAACTGACCAGATCAATATCCCAGGAGTTTAATTGACTTGATGCTATACTCTGATTTAAAAGTGTTCCTTTAATCTTTTTGAGCAGTGTATTTGAATGTGGCCTGGTGTCAGCCTCTTGCAGTCTCTGTAGAGCAGAGCTCAGTCTGGGAGAAGGAAATGCAGCACAAGGAGCCAGTCTGTTGTTCTGTAAGGCTCATGTGCTAAAAGGGATCATGCTGATAAGAGGAGAGCAGATTCACAGCTCAATGATATGCCTCTACTCATTTTACTATCCTTTCATACAAAGGCGGCTCCAGCCTATTTTTTTTGCAGGTGCTATGCAGGTGCTAGGGGTAAAAGTGGGGGAGCCAAGTCTCAAAAGCATGAAAATAACTTAATATTAAAGGCAGACTCATTTATTGTCTTAAATAGTGATAAAAATAGTGCAATAATTACTGGAAGGCTGTAAACACAGAAAATTAAATGTAATGCCCTGAAGAGAACATGAAAACACGGCAGAGAAGAAAGTAGTCCATTGAACCCAAGAGGATTCCATTTTATGCAAATTCAAACATTAAAGCAGACATACAGTATATGCATCACTAAAAGTTCCTCATCAGCAAAGGCCAAAAAGGAAATTTTAGTCAACAATAAAATGGCATGGCACCCCAACCTCACTAAATGTTGTTGAAGTAAGCAATCTTGACAAATTTTCTTCAGACAACGTATGGCAATGGATTTTCAGTACAGTGTTCATTTTATCACACACCTCTCATTTTGCTTGTACCTCCTAATTCATAATCATCACTGTATACATCCTATGGTCCTGTTCTACATCTTGTTAAGATCATGTGAAGGTCTTTATCCATTCAATCACAGGCTCACCTGCATTCAAGGATGCTTTACTGTCTATCTACCAGCAGAAAGTTACAGTGTGGCAGCCCACTCCACCAAAAATACATCCCACACTGCTGTTCCAGGTCTCGATCTTATTCATGCATCAATGGATGTTAACGGATGCAGACACTAACGGATGTAAACAGATGATCATCAGCTTACATCCGCTAGTCCATAGAAATACATGGGTGTCAGTTTTTCATCCATAAATGGACAGACCCTAAGGCCAAGTCATAGCTGACCTATGTTGTGGCCTGTGGGAGATATGATGAAACCAGAATAGGACAATGTGCCACCTGACCCATTTCTAGTAGGACAGTCAGTAGACCTAGTATTAAAGAAGTAGGGGAGTCAGGAGGAAAAAATGGCTACTGAATGGAGGACTGACTGTTTTAAAGGTTAAATGCAGAACAAGGTGTGAGGTAAAATGGACACTATAATGCATTTCAGCATTCCCAGTAAATTTATTTTATTTCAGGTACTTATATAGCGCCGTCACTAGGGGGCAGCGCAGCACTATTCTTGGGGAATTTTGCAGAGCAGGACAGCGACCCTTCCCCCATCCAGGGCCCACAGCAGGACAAGGACCCCTACCATCCAGGGCCCACAATAGGACAATGACTCCCCCCATCCAGGGCCCACAGCAGGACAACGATCCCCCCCCCAGGGCCCACAGCAGGACGACGATCCCCCCCATCCAGGGCCTAGAGCAGGACAATGATCCCCCCATCCAGGGCCTACAGCAGGACAGCGACCCACCCTCCAGGGCCTACAGTGGGCCCACAGCAGGACATTGACCCCACCATCCAGGGCCTACAGCAGGACAGCAGACCCACAGCAGGACAACGACCCCCCCCATCCAGGGCCTACAGCAGGACAGCAGATTCACAGCAGGACAACGACCCCCCCATCCAGGGCCTACAGCAGGACAGCAGACCCACAGCAGGACAACGACCCCACCATCCAGGGCCTACAGCAGGACAGCAGACCCACAGCAGGACAACAACCCCCCCATCCAGGGCCTACTGCAGGACAGCGACTCCCAGTAGCAATAAATACCTGGCCAACTTATAATAAACACCTGGCTGAGCTGAAGAATATAGTGTAAAAAGCAATAATAATAATAAATATGTGAAACGTATATCAGAAATAAAACACAATCACAGTAGCAGTAAACACCTGTCTGAGCTATAATAAACACACCCGGCTGAGCTGAAGCAACAAGTGTGAAAACCAACAAAAACAGTAATAAATCATTGTAAAATAAATGCACCACTGAGCAATCAGCCCCCCCAATGGAATAAATCAATGATGAATCAAGTGAATGCTCAATTGGCCTAGATATTCACAAAAACTGCGTAATGGAAAAGATAAGCAGCTATACTACATATATACAAAAAGTGAATGGTGAATGATAAATAGCAGCTTAAGTTGTATTTATCATTCACCTTTTGTTTATATTTAGTACAGCTGCTTATCTTTTCCATTACGCACTTTTTGTGTAGGACTGTGTAGACCAGGGGTGGCCAACTGTGGCCCTTCAGCTGTTG